TCAAACGAACAATTCTCTAACTACTAGAGTCTCAAATGAAAATTGCAATGTCAAACCCTAACCGATGGAGATAGTAGAAAAAAAGAGATTGAAGAGTCACGTGTTATGAAAAATGACAGCAATAAAGTGAAAAGAACTGGATCAAAAAATTGCAAACCACAAAATAACACACAGACTTACGTGGTTCGACTTATTTGCTTATGTCCACAGTGCTACAAAGGATTTTATTACTTCAAGAAATTACATCGTCAAGCACCTCGAAGTTTTCAAGAAAACTTTCTTTCTCATTTTCTCTTTATTTCTCTCTCTTAGCTCTCAAGAGGGCATGGCTTAGCACCTATGACGAGCCAAAAAAAACTATTTAAGGAAAACGGAAGAAGGGTAGGAGGAGAAAGGTAGGTGAGAGAGAGGTAGATGGGAGAGAGGTAGTTGAGACATGGTAGATGAGGTAGATAAGTCACAGGATCCATATATTTAACAATACTCCCACTTGGAGACTGAGACACTGACTGCACCACCTACAGCTGCATCATCTGTTGGTTGTACCGACTCTTTTCTTCAAACATGATATCCTCCACTTTTCTCCACCTCTGCAACTCATGGCTTCTGTCTTCAGGCTAGAAGACCAATTAAAGTAGAGCACAACTTCAGTGTCTCAAAAGTAACACCCTTAGTTGACATATCAACGCTAACGTAGCATTGTCCCTCCAAGCTCTTTCCTAGGTTACTCATGAATCTGCTTATAACTCTCATTACATGGGCAATATCCTATCGCAGCTGAAAGCCTTTTTCAACAAGGCCAGACTTGTATCTATTTGATGTATTCTTTGATGAAGGATAGCAACCTTCATTATAGTCTCGAAAATTCATTTGCATCAACATCCTGAACATGATTGTGATTGGGTCATAGCCGCATTTCATCTAAATATCTGCTCTACAAAAATCAATTCTAAATTAAGAGGAAGCTTTTACTATAACTTTAAGTGAAAACCTATGTCAACATTTTGAATGTCACCCCAAGATCAATCACTAACCCAAGAAACCCATCCAGAAAAAGTTTTTTCAACACTCCCTCCTTATAATGGGATTTTTTCTTCTCAATCTAGTGAAAAAGAAGACCCCCTTAATCCTGACAGTTTAAAACACTTATCTCTCTCTCTAGCCTTTAAATTAACTTGTGATGTCACTTCCATTAATGTTGTGGTTGATCACTGAATCATGTCATCAACTTACGAAAGAAATTAAAAGGCTAATTTGACAAGGATATTTGGGCTGAAAAAAAAAAAATCAAGTGGGCACTCAAGTGGGCAACTGTTGGCACTTGGCACCGATTTCTCGCTCGTTCTCTTTCCATTTTTCTTTCTCTTTTGTCATTGTCATTGCCATCAGTCTTCATTTTGTTATCGTTGTTGTAGTCGTAGAGTCGCTAATTTATTACTTGTTATGTTGCCATTGCAAAACTAATCCTTCATCACGAAAGACTAAAGGATTATGGTATATAATAATAGGAACAAATAGAAGGAATATGTGGGGAAGCTTTCATGAAGATTAAATATCCACATTTTTAAAACATATGTTGAGATAAGTAGATGAAAAATTAAGAATGTGCTTCTTTACTTTAAAAAAACATTAAATTTTTTTGTTGCATTTAAATTGGAAAGATTAGGACAATTATTTTCAACACAAATATGATAATAATTTGTCTTCATCAATTAATGAGTTATTGAGATTCAAATGCTGAAATAATGAGTGATCAAGCAAGTTCTTGATCTAAACACAAGCAAAAAAGTATATGATTTATGTCAACCTAAGTGATTGATAATATGTAAATAATGATTAACAAGTGACAATTAACAAGTAAGCTTGGATGATCAATGGCAAAGACATAAATTTTCCCTAATGATGCACATAAATTAATTAGATAAATTAAAAGGGGCTATAAGTTTATTTTTTGGTATTAAAATACTAAGTAGAAAAAATTTACTAATATATACCTATTCGATTTTAAAACATATTAATAAATTAGAGAGCTACAAAATTACCCGTTAAGGGTTAGATGTGTAGATTCATAAGAATTGTGTGGTTTGCAAGTAAATTTGCTAAATATTTAATGTTTGTTTGCCAGGGTACTTATTTGGTCAAATGATTCTATTGCCCCCAGCATATATTGTCTTAAAAATAAAAAAAAGAATTATAACAAATTATAAATTATATTTTTAAAATATTATAATTCTTATAAAAAATTTTAAATTTACGACGGTCAAAACATTTACTGGGCGAACACGAATTTTTAAAATTTTAAACTTACGTGCCTATGACTTCATTTCCCAATAAATGTCTGGAAAGGAAGATACTAAGGGTCTGTTTGGAGCACCAGCAGCTTATTGAATAATCTGCTGATAAACTGATTAAAAATAATATGCTGATAGGTTAGGTGCGATGACTATTACAAATTTTTATTTTTTTTTGGAAAAGTCAGACCGCTGCCAGAAAGTTATCACTGCACCTAGATAGGTGCAGTGTGAAAACGTTGTTTTCAGCGTTTTGAAAACGCATAAGCTGTCAAAACGCAGTTTATCCATACAGGTCAGGTGTGTTTTCAAAACGTCACCGCACCAAAAAAGCTATCCCAAACGGACCCTTAACTTCCTGAATCAATTTGAAACTAATTTTTTTATTTAACTATATGACACAAGATTTTAAGAGATGATTGTTCATTTTGAATTTTTGAGAAGAAATAACTTTTTATCTTTTTTATGAGAATTAAAAGTTTTATAATCAAGTTTTTATTTTATATATTCAAGAAGAGAATTCACAAAACTTATAAACAAATGATAAACATTTTAAACTCTTCGTATTACCACCATAGAAAGGGATCTCTGATCCCATTCAAGTGTATTACATTTTGTTTATGCCTTCTTTGTTATTAAAAGTATGAACTTTAAAATATTTGACTAATTATAGTAAAAATATTTCTTATTGAAATAGGTTGTTATTGCTTTTTCTCCTCATTTTTTTCGTGTAGAAAATTATGATTCATGTGTTTCTTTTAGTATTTGTAAGGCTGTTAATTGGCTCTTTGTTCGCGAACAACTCATGTTCGACTCGTTAAGCAGCTCGTATTCGGCTCGTTCGTTAAGCCTAACGAGCCGAACAAGAACAAATTTTTAAGCTCGAAATGTAAAGGAGCCGAACACAAACAAAAGTTTGTTCGCTCGAATTGGCTCGAATACACACACACAGACACACATAATAAATATTCATAAAATGAAATACTATAAATTATAATTAATTATTTTTTAAAAAACCTTTTTTTAGAAAATATATTATTTTAATTTTATTTAAAAAAATTACTTATCATAATATTTTTATATTTTAACGAGCCAATTTCAAGCTAAACAAGAACATGAATAAGTTTTTCCACTGTTCACGAGTTGAACACGAACCGAACACAAACATACTGTTCACAAGACATTTCAAGCACGAACCAATTTCAAACACAAACCAATTTCGCAAGAGCCGAACACGAGCCCAGCCTGTGAGGCTCGGCTTGTTTACAGCCCTAAGTATTTGTGTGTATACAAAATCTTAAGCAACTATAAAATAAACTATCTTTATTACCAGTGGCACAATCAAATTTTGTTCATGATAGTCACTTGTTCTCCTGAAATTTATAACTTCTTTATATAAATAGTAAAATTTAATACACAATCAAATTTTGTTCATGATAGTCACTTGTTCTCCTGAAATTTATAACTTCTTTATATAAATAGTAAAATTTAATACACAATCAAATTTTGTTCATGATAGTCACTTGTTCTCCTGAAATTGTCAATTACTTACAAAAATTAGACATTTGATGATTTTGATCCATCTCAAAAATAATTTTGATTCCACCCCAGATCTCCTCAGGACACAACACAAACATCTAAACATTGAATTGCAACAAATTTTAGTACATTTATATACCATAATGAATCCACATTTTTTAAGATTAAATCTAAGGAATCCTACAAATTGCAGGTCCTACCAAAAATAATATTAATATAAAAACAATTAAAAATTTAAAAAAAAGAACCAACATCCTTTTTTTAAGTACTAAAATATCTAACATAAGAAGTTTGATATTTATATTAATAACATTTCGATGTTATAAGCCCGTAATGAAAACATATTTCATTTTTTAAAAATATTAATAATAACAAAAATAATATTAAAATTCGAATGATATGCATATAGATATCAAAATTAAAGCATATGTGAATAGATGAGAATTGTGTTGTATGTGTTTAAATGCCTCGATATTATAATGATTCATCATTCATTAAACAATGCAATTTTAATTATAAAAGTAAAGTAAACATTTAATTACAAATAAAAAAACTTCCTAAAAATCAAATTCTTCTAAAGTATTTTGTATTGTAAATGATAAATAACTCTTTAAATACCATCAATCATTCAAACAATTTCTAAATCTACATAATTTATTATTTTCATTATGAAAATTTCAATGTCTACTTGATTTCCAAATAGAATGTGATGGCACTTGAAGCACAATAGAGCTAAAAAGCTACTCAAAGAGCCCCTAAATCAATGAAATGATGTTTATCATGTGAGGCATTTCATTATTCATAATAATTAAAGAAAGAGAAGATTTGCATAAACACCATACAATTCTCATGTATTTATAAATTAGAACAAGATTTTGATTTTTATACCTTTGCTTGAAAAGGATGCATTTACCTTTTGAGTTACTAATAGTAATATTTTTGGATGTGATAGGAAACATTTAAGTTTTATAAATATAAAATGTAAATAATAGATGTATATAAATATATGTGAGAATTGTATGGTACGTCTGCAAACGTTGTAATATGTGAAACTATCAAACACATGGAAACCAAAAAAAAAACACAAATTAAAACAGAGAAAATAACTTGCCATAAAACAAACAAATATCACAATTTTATTTTACAGAATACATTAAAAATGTAAAAATACAAATAAACCTCAAAATAAGAAAAATGATGTTTTGGAGAGAATATGCATCAGTTCGATATGGAGCCGCCGGATATGAACTCAGTCCCAGGCTTTCTTTTTAGTTTATTTCATTGTTCCATAGGTAAGAAATGGAGCAAAGAAGCATAAAATATTGCAGCAGATATGTTATTTTGTCGCTAATCCTGATTAATGAGAGAAAAAATTGGTTAAAATAATAAAATATTAGTAAGCTTGGAATAAGATTAGTAATTAAGCAGCTTTTTTTTTTTTTTTTTTGCATTGCCTAAAGCAGTCTTTTTTCCTCCTAATAATATTGGAACCTAACACCTAATAAAAAAATGATAATTATTTTCATGGGATGACTTTGACAGATGCCTTTCACGCCAAGTACATGTACACAGACATATGGTGCACAGTAGAAGAAGACATTTGCCAAAACAAACTTGTTAGGTGACCTCCATTATGCCAACAATGGAGCAACGCTGTCAATCTATTTCAATTATTGACATTTTATATCGAAGACTAGGAGAGACTAATGGGAGACTAATGCAAATAGAGAAAGACCAAAAGCTGCAAGATCAATATGAGAAGAAGGAAAAGGATAAAAGAAGGAACGGCAGATAGTAACAAAAAGAAAAAAAACCAATTGTTTCAAGAGTGGTGAGCGCCACAGTGATCAATATCTGCATTACATATTGTTGCTAAGACGTCGAGCACTTTGCAATGGTTAACCTGTGGGAGGTTAGTCCCTAATCATTTATGCCCTTTTCGACCGACTTGAGGGAGTCAAGGAGTTTTCTTAGAGATGAATTCAGGTCTACATACCAACAACCGATATCAAGGAAAGCGGAAACCCCAATGTCAAATCTTTAGAAGTTAGGACACACACTATGAATTATTCATTGTCATCGCATTCGAGTTGATCAATGTAAACCGCCCCATTGATTTGATGAAAACATAATCTTCCACCTCTATATGAATCTATTCACATGACATGATCATCTATTGTGAAGGCCCAGAAGCTTACGAAGGGCCAACAGTTCAATTGGCATGAGAACTAACCTAACACGTGATTTTATATTTGGCAACTATCGCCTTTGCATTGTAGATCATACAATATTACTTTTATGGCATCTACGTGGCGCTCTTTACTAGTCACAAATGTTTGAAGTACTTTTTCTCCCTAAAGGAGATTGACTTTTACAAAAGAAAGATCCCGCCCAAAAAAAAAAAACTACGATGAAAGATAAATCACACAAAATAATCCGAAAGATAATAAAATTTAAATTCAACAGAAAATTTCAAAGAGAGTTGAATTCAACAAAGAAAATCTTTGAAAACAAACAAATAAATAAATAAAAGAAAACCAAAACAATTACAAAAATGTAATGAGCCAAGTGATGCAGTTTGCAAAAAAAAAAAAAGAAAAACCAAGAAAATAACAAACAAGAAAGAACAATCTCCCAGATAAAGTTCAACTACAAGAAAAATCACCAAATTCATTTCGCAAGAAATCGAAATAAATGGGAAGGTAAGGAGATATTAATTAAAAGGAATACCGTGTCCTCTATAAGAAGAAAGCCATCAATCTTTATCTAACACATTGCAAACATAAAAACAATGCAAAATCAATTCATTTTATTATTTCATTCCATCACTATTGTATTTATTGAGGTATGTAGAAAGGTGAAAAAAATCATATTCACTTATTTCTCAATAATCAAATTACAACTCTTCTCCTTAAATAATAAGGAACGACTAGGACAAACTTAATCACAATCATTAAAACTTACCATAGATAAACTAACTCAAGATGGAAAAAAATATGCAACAACAAAAAAGAATAACACTAAAACATGAAACTCAAAATTCCACTCCCTCTCAAGTTGGGCATAGATGTTGAAAATGCCCAGCTTGGTATTCAAATCAGTGAAGTTGTGAAAACATTAGCGACTTGAAGATAAGTTGTAACGTAGACTAAGTGAACAATGCCTCCATTGACATTTTCAGAGATAAAATGTCTATCAATCTCAATGAACTTGATCCTGTCATTATGTGCGAGATTCTTTGCAATACTAATGACGGTTTGACTATCACATAACATCTTTATGGTATTGATCATGAAGTATCTCAGCTCACTTAGTAACCTTAGATCCACATTCATGTACAAATTCCCAAATCAAGTGTCTGCTAGGCTGTTACTCAAATTTTGCACTACTTCTAGAGACCGTTGCTTGTTTTTTGCTCTTCCAGGTGACAAAATTTTCCCAGCATAGGAATAATACCCAGAAGTGGACCTTCTATCTACCAGCTCTCCTGCCCAACTAGCAACAACATAAATTTCTACCTCCCTGTTGTTTGATTTCTTAAACACTAAATTTCTGTTAGGGGTTTTTTGAAGAAATCTCAATATTCTGTAAATCATCTACAAATGTCATTCATTCAAACTATTCATAGGATGACTTGCAATAATCACAAAGTAATCAATATCAGATCTAATGTGCGATAGGTGGATAAACTTACCTGTCAATAGCTGGTATTTACCTTTTCTACTGCTCTCTTTTCTCCCACTTAATATAATTTTTTTTGTTGAAATTCATATGAGTCTCAATGGGTTTGATTGGGAGACGGCAAGGTTTATGGATGGCTTGACGCCGGGTATATGACGGGGTTGCCGGAGGGAGTGTAGTCGCAGAAAAGTAAGGGGGGTGGAGCAAAGAAGAGAGGGTGAAGTGGCGTTGCCGCGTTGCCATGGGAGTGTAACTGCGGCTATGGGATTTACCGGAGCAGCAGCACCATCGGGAGTGAAGGAGCAACCGGAGCAGCGGGAGGTGTTTGTTTGCCTCGGGTTTCGCGTGGATAAGGGAGATACGGCAGAGGAAAGGAGCGGGAGTTGTTTTCGGGCTCCAATTTTATGCGGATGAGGGAGATAGGAAGGATATCGAGTGGGTTCTAGTGTCAAAAGAAAGGTGCATGAAAAAGGAGAAAACATTTAGTCCTGTGTGTCCGGATGTAGATTAACGTTCGGACTCCAATAGCATTATGACACATGTTCTTTTAGTTTGACCCACTTAGCTGATAAAAAAAGATTATATTTGGCAGTAAGTTGAACCTGGCCCGAAACGAGCCCAAAATTTGGAAAAAAAAATTAACATATTCAAAAACCTATGCCACCACTTCTATTGTTTTTCTTTATGTTTTAGGGTTTTCCGTATAAGGTTTGTCAATACCGCTCTATGAGTTTCCAAACTAGCTTAGGATTTTCGAACGAGAGTTGCGAAGCTTAGCATTTAGCACAACAATCATTAAGGTAATTTGTTTGATCTTTACTAAAGGGATTTCAAACAAGCTTTCAAATTTCTGTTGAACTTATGAAGTTGTTTATTAGACAACGTTTAGGGTTTTCTAGCAAAGCGAAACAAGCAAACCGAAATAAATGAACTCAAAAACTAAGGCAGCTCCAAGGTTGATACGGAAAAAAATACAAGGTTTATAGATGATTGCAATTATTGCTTATGTTTAATTTTTTACTATTTTATTCAATTCCTCTTGGCATAAGAAATGGATGTACAAATGGGTGGATTACATTATCATTCAAGTTTAAACCATACTTAATCATGCTTTATTGTTGGGGCAATCAATTTTACCTCATTTGTTCAATGTATTGCTTCATATATCATATTTGAATCATATATAATCATGAATTATTATTGGAAAACAGTATATTTGATTTGATAAGCTTCACTTGTTCAGTTTGTGAGAAAAACGACAATATATCCATATGTGTCATCGCTATACCAAACCATTATACCACAAATTTTCCAAAATATGATAGAACTTTCATAACAAAAAATTTCAAACTACTAATGTGCATAATATCATAATTTATTGCTTCTCATATCAACCGAGCAGAAGATAAGATTCATTTATGAGAAAAAAATAAAATATAGTTATATAAACCACCACTATGCCACAGTTTTTCTAAAACATGGTGATACTGAAACTAGTTCAAAACAGTGGAAATGATAAACAAATGGATTTGGGTTATAACACAACTTAAAATGGACATACGACACAACAACAACAACCTTTGCTAGGGCTAGACGAGGAGATCTGAGAGCAGTGGTTATGTCAACGAAGCGGCAAGGGGAAGTGAAAGGGGAAGGATTCGTGGTTGTACGATAGGTTGTGAAGGGGATCTAGTAGACAGTTTGAGGGATGGAGGAGTGGGATGGTAAGGAAGGTTGTTGGTTAAGGGTGGCTAGAAGTACGGTGATGGCTGGATAGGTGGACAGCAAGAACCGCGGCAAGTAAAGAGGCAGCAGATGTTGGTTGGCAGCCGAATGGGTTGGACAGCAAGCACTGTTGCAAGGAAAGGGGGTGGCAGGCCAGCAGGAAGGAGTAGAGGTGGTTGGCGGCTTAGGGAGGGGAAAGAGAAGGGGTATGGAGGAGAATAGAAGAGGATACAACACCACCTTGGAGCAAGAAATAGCAGAAACACCAGTCGTCGTCAAATACAACCCTGGCAAGGGAGAATACTCAAGAGAGAATCTGAAACAACAATCAAAATAAAACATACCCCTAATTCTCTCAAACAATAAAAGGACTCCAAACAAGTGGGAAACATAAAGGAAAAGGGGGAAGGGGTTGGCAGCATTGCCACCCCTTTTAATCATTGCTCAATCCAATAGGGAGCTGGACCCGCAACCTCTGAGTCAGTTTTGTCGGTCCATCTGCCAGCTAGTACAGTCGGCTGGCCTCCTCAGCATCATGTCAATCTCTCGGGATTGTTGGAGTTTCAAATTTATTCATCGAAGCTTCTAATTCCTTGTTTGCAATCCTAGCAGCACCTGGATATCGCCTTCCAAGACACCTAAGGGTCTTCCCCAAATTATGAGCAAGCATCCAAATCGATCCACTCTTCTGGGAGTCTACAACTTAACTGAACTGAGTTTGTGTGTCTCGCCGCTGTTGTTGAATACACCCAGAGTCATCCTCAATCGACTTAACCAGATCTAAAGCAGGGGTAACCTGAATCTTCCTGCCTGGTGATGGCAGTGACAGTAAGGTATCAACTGTGACATCCTGAAATGTCCTCTGTCGTACTTGCCCCGTGTCTAGAGTTGGTCTCTCAGTCTGATCATCCCTCGCCATCAACAAAACTAATCACAATAATGTTGCT